CTCCTCCTCTTGTTTGTCCTCCTCCTATTCTGAGTTCCTCCCCATCCTCCTCAGTTTCCTTCTTCCCTCTTGCCTCCACTGCAGTTGTAAGAACGTGTGTGTGTGTGTGTGTGTGTGTGTGTGTGTGTGTGTGTGTGTGTGTGTGTGGCGGGCTTTGACACTACCAATGTAATTTAACAGCACAAAGAACACGAAACAAAGTCAGCAGGTGAGAACATCATGTACTCGACGCCTTGATCAATTAACCCTTTGAGGACGAGGTTGTAACTCCTTTAGGACTATAATTGTCATTCTTTAAAGAGCTACAGCTCGAATCGTCGCCCTCAAAGGTTTAGTATAGTTTAAATGGTCGTCCTTGAGGGGTTATTGCTTAATTTAATGCTCGTAAAGAGTTAAGAGCATAAAATAATGATCCAGGTTATACGTTAACCCCTTGTGTTTGAGTTCCTCTCTGAGCTGACTAAAATCGTCTGGCGTTGGGTAAAGAAAATATTGTAAGTGACGGCCCCATAGTGAAGGGGTTAATGTAGATCGCCTACTAAAGTGTCTCGAGACCTGAGAGAGAGAGAGAGAGAGAGAGAGAGAGAGAGAGAGAGAGAGAGAGGCGCGTGTCTTTCCACCTTTGAACCTCTTAAGTGTGACCTCTCAGAGACCTGTCGCAATTTGATCGTATTTCAACTGTTTTGTATGAATATCGTTACTTTTTTTATTTTAATTTGATATTTATTTACTACGACAAATTACGTTATGATGATACAGATACTAACAAAAATAAAACAGTGATAGTGATAGAAAATGTCTTGTTAAGGAAATGAGGTTTTGTCATTTGAAGTAATAACGGTAAAGAAAAAAATGAAAGTACTTCTTGAGAGTGAAAGGTGGAGTGTGTACTTTATTAACGGTAAGTTACGACAGACGGAGGTAACGGTGTGTTTTGTGACTTCCCACCGTCCACCACCAGGAGGCAGTGGCGCGTGGAAATGATTTTACAGCTGGTTAAGATACCTGTCCGTCTTTGTCCAGGTAAAGAACACTCAAGCGAGGAGGATGACAGCTGTCGAAATATGTGACTTTCTGACCCCACACGTACCATTTCTTGGGGTGGTCGTGTCGATGATGTACCGTTTGTCAAGTAGGAACAATATCACTCTTTTCCCTTCTCGAGTTCTGATGGACGTGTCTCACTGATAGCTCGGGTGGTTCATACTGAAGTCTAGTTCATTTTACCTCTGTATTTGTGTTCTAATTGCGAGTCGAGACCTATAACTTAAGAACGTGTTTTGAATTGTGTGCGTGTGTGCGTGCGTGCGTGTGCGCTCACCAGAACAAAACAGTCTACAAACAGGTCTTGGGACGTGTGTTGCAGACTGGACTCAGGAGATAAGGCAAGACTGGTGGTGCAGGAGACTGAAACATATCACCCCCCTGACGGCCCCCAGTTGCTTCGTAAATTTGTCCTGATGGTGGTGGAGATTGTGTGTGTGTGTGTGTGCGCGCGCGTGTGTGTGTCTCCTTCCTGCCGGGGAAACACGGCCACGTTTCTTGTTGTTGTTGTTGACTTAAAGAGAATAGCCTGTTCCTCTTCTTCCCTTATCGTGAAACTGTGGCGTGGCGATGGTTAGCTCTGACCTGAGCCTCACCTGTTTGTTAGGTGTTGGCTGGATGAACATATTGATGGTGATTAGTGTACAAGGAACCAATTGGGTAATTAATTGTACAGTACGGGAACCACCTTGGGATTTCTAGGATGTGAGGGCTTTTTATGACAGCTGTAATGTACCGTTGCAGACTGATCACGTAATTGATGAAGGAGGACTGAACGAGGATACACCATTAGCCTGTAATACCAGCTGTTGTGTGTGGTGTTTTAGTCTTCCCTTACTCCTGGTGTGTAAGAGTACAGGGAGGCAGGTGGTGATGGAGTGATGGTAAAAGTAACAGGAGTGTGTGGGAGGTGGAGGGAGGGAGGCCTGGGTGACGGCTCTGCTGTGGTGTAGATCAATAAAAATCTCGCCAGTCACCACCGGCACTAGTTGAAACACTCCTTCGTGGAGGCAAGTGTCCCCCTCCCGCCACCCCTCCCCCAGGTGTAGTAACTGTCTGGGGCATCATAGTGACAACCCACCTCCCCGGTAACATTGTAGGAAGGGGTATTACTAAAGGTCATGGGGACATGAGCAGCTCACCAAATGAGTTTATAGATGGTACACGTAACCCGCCCCACGTTGTACTCCAAAATGGTTTTACGGAACCAGCCAGCTGTGACACGATGAGGTGACTGCTCAGCGGGACTTTATGACCACCGTAAGTCTCTTGTCTCAAGACGCTAGAGCATAAAACTTTTATTTTTCCTTAGTAAGGCTATATAAGTTATTTTAAAAGTGATGGAGTCTGTCTTAAAAAAAAATTCAGCTGCTGCTGCTCATCATTATTATTATTATTATTATTATTATTATTATTATTATTATTATTATTATTATTATTATTATGATTATTATTTATTACTTGTGTTGAGAGATACATGTTCATGACACCAGTATATAAAGGAAAGTTTATAATAATGACAGCATTTCCTATATTATATACGGTCCTGCTTTTATTTCAACATGCCGTTTTCCCAGACAAGTTGCAGTGTGTGTGTGTGTGTGTGTGTGTGTGTGTGTGTGTAATAATAATAATAATAATAATTAACGGTTTATTGAAAGAGCTTGGCAGCCAGAAGGATGTGTCCATGTAAGTCTGTTTACCATAATATTCCCTAATACTTGTGTTTTCACCTGTGGTCGGTTAAGCAAGTTCTCTCCGAAAGGCTTACTGTATATTTTTGGTGGCCAGAGAGATATTAGACAAATCAAATCATTCTTTTTTTTAAGAAATTACCTTAACTAAGTTTTATTACTGGTTGTAAAAGCTATTTTCTCTAATTCTCTTATATGTGGTAAATTTAAAAACAGAAATATCCTTTTTATCTTTTTATTTTTTTTATTTTTTAATGAAAACCAACCTATTTCAATAGTGGATGGTCAAAGAAATTCCCCCAGACATCCTTTTATGGAGCGGTTAATTAAGGAGACGTCGCTTTGAAAGTTGATGTGGTGAGACTTAAGGAATATTGACGAAGACCCGGTGAGAGTGGTGACGGCTTCAGGGAGACACTGCCCGGGTCTACGTCTACCGCTGTTACTGAGTTATTACTGTAGGTTGAGGGGAGGGGAGAGGAGAGGCCCGAGCAGAAGGTTGGGTTGGTGAGGAGCTGACTGACTGTCTAGGTGTGGTGGTATAGCAGTATTACTGCGGTTGAGTTCATTTATAGTACCTACGAGTTGACCTCTGACTACAGTACTGAAAGTCAGCGACGTTGCCGACTCATCCACATGTAGAGATGGTGTAACTTACCGTCGACCTCGTAGAAGTAATGTGTTTATCAAATGGCAGGTAGACCAGGTGATGTTCCGTGCACGTGGTAATTATCTCTCGGTGTCCTGTCCATTTGTTAAGAATTTTCTCATACTATCAAATTCTGTTTATATTTCCATACTTTCTACTCCTCTCCTAATATTTTTTGAGGTACAATAACCACAAAGCATGTGGGAAATAATTGAAATTTAGGTGCCAGACATTTGTTGAAAACGACGGGAAAGGTTAACACTAATATACATTGCTCTCAGTCCCTTATACCGCCAGTTTACAGTAGCATCTTCACAGTGACTCCTGCCGTTTACATTGATCCACAACGCTTAGTATCAATTTAGTGTCCATTCCAGGTTCCTCGCCACATAGATGTACGAAACGGCTCCACTGTTTAGTCCACAATCATTAGTTGTGCGCTAAGTATAGGTAATAAAACAGGGTTCGGCTGGTGTGCTAATGAAAGACGATTATGTGCATAAACAATATATTTCAGGTAGAAAATTGGCCTACAACATCAAACAACACCGGGAGTGTGGTGGGTTGTGTGTCGACAACACCACTAGTGTACTGTCAATATCAGCCCCGAGTTGAACTCGTGTAGACAGACTTTCTGGGCTGCTGCTAGATAGTCCACGTTTATCGTAGACAGTTTGGTCTTCTCGTACACCATCCAGACACCTGCTGGACCACTTCAGGACCTCGTAAAGTGTGGTAGACGGTCTGGACGCCTCATAGATGGTCCAGGAACCTTGTTAACGGTGTGTGTGTCGTAGGCGGCGGCCAGTAATGTTCTGAACACCCATTGTATAGTGTACTGACGACGGCTTCAAGGTGTCGTATAGTTGACGTTTGAACATAGATTATTTTTTACAGGTTCGATGTAGATGAATTTATTAAAGTGTATTGAAATGTCTCTTCGCTGTGCTTATGAAATTAAAAAAAAAAATATAAGTACAGCAACAGTGTAGAATGTGTACCTAGTTGATCAGTGGGTGTAATGCGCTGCCGACCGTCAACAGTTGCTGGTTATTTTGTGTTGACAGTGCGTGGAGTGCCATAGATGGTGTGAGTAATGGTGGAGACAGCGTTGTGGATGGTGGTGGTGAAGAGGATTTACGGAAATTTATTGCTTAGAGATTGGTGAGGGGGATTGGTTAGAGATTGGTGAGGGTGATTGGTTAGAGATTGGTGAGGGCGATTGGTTAGAGATTGGTGAGGAGGATTGGTTAGAGATTGGTGAGGAGGATTGGTTAGAGATTGGTGAGGAGGATTGTGACGGGGGAAACAGGTAAAATTCTAGCGAGGGACTAGTGAAGGATTAGAGAGGATGGTGGTAATTACGACGACCTAACGTGATGGGTGTGGGGACTATAATGGGGTATATATTACTACCTAGGGAATAGTGAGAGACTGGGGGAGATGGTGAGTCACGCCTAATGTGCCTGGGGGGGGGTGAAAAATACTGAAGTAGCTTTTTACACCTTCCATGATATAGATCTTACTGGAGGTAATTAATCACGGTAACATATACATCTAAAGCTCAAGTTATCTAAGTATAAAAATATAAAGGAATATTATATCTTGTTGGGGGTGGGGTTTAGTGGTAGGAGGGCGATGGTTGGTAGCCGTACTGGGGCTTGTAAGTGACTGGGGGGCCGTACTGGTGGGGGTACTGGGCCTCCCCATAGTACTGCACGTCGGCCACGAAGCCCTTGTAGTGGTCAGCCTCGTAGTTCACCTAAAGGGAAAAGAGTGGGTGTCTAAAAGTAAAGTTGATCTTGATAAATTCTGGTTTGTAGTTGTAGAGGAAATAATCCTCCATAATACAAGTTAATTAAGAAATAAAACCAGTTGAGACAAATAACTTCCAAAGTATTAAAAATAATCATGATAATTATAAGGAAAAAGAAATGAATTATATAAAGGACACATGAATGAATGGTGTAATCAGTTACCGTGGACAGGTAAAACTTAGGATGATTATTAACATGGTGAAGACATTTATAGTAGTACAGCATAAGGCAGGAGGGAGAGATTAACAACGTGATATTTTTAGGTTAATAAGATTTTAAGGTCTAGGGACATAGGACTGCTAGAGTATGACGTGGGAGTAAGGGGGAGGAGTGTGGTGAAACCTGGCGTAGGGGATAATGTGTCTAGCAGCAGCAGAGGAGTGAATGAGTGAGTGCCAGTCGTAAAGGTTACCAACGAGTCTATTCGCCTTAATGGGCAGTATCATGCAGCGCGCGCAAGATTTGATCAACTCAGGCTCATAAACTATGAATTGAAGTTGTAGGGGTATGGTAATAATCCATTTTTCGTAATATGCTCCAAACTTTATGATTTTTTTTTTACCATTCGTTCACCTCTTCCACCCAACTTAGTAAGTAATGGAAGTTGATTAATGGAGGTAGAGCCAATAATTAGTCTTAATTTGTGTTACAACATTCAAGAGATTGATAGGTTCCAGGTCGAATGGCTCCCAGTTCTAATAAGCTCCACTATAACCATTAGGAGACTGGGGACTTTTAGGACTGAGGTTTATTCCTATTGGTCATGTTAGATTAGATTGGGTCCCATTAGGATTGGACCTTCTTAAGACAAGGGCCAAGATCTGACCAGCTACCGACTTTATACTGAAGCTCACCTGTGTATGCGAGCGACTGAAGGTGTGTGAATGAGTGAGTGAATGAGTGAGTAGTAAACATGAGGGTCCAGGTTCGTACAATTAACATTCCTCATGTCTTAAGATGTAAATAAATTAACTAACAATGCTCCCCATAATATATATACAGTATTAGAATAACATGACTCATACATTAACTAGATACAGGTACGTTACTACCAAGAAGGAGAGACAAGCCTTAGAAATATTCACAGTCTCAATATTAGTGTGTGTGTGTGTGTGTGTGTGTGTGTGTGTGTGTGTGTGTGTGTGTGTGTGTGTGTGTGTGTGTGTGTTTACATGAGGAATATTCATCACATCAACATCTTCAAGACTGTCACGTTAGGTGTCTTACCGTCTGCTTGCGGCCGTCGGGGAGCTGCACGGTGTACGAGCCCTTGACGGTGTTGCCATCTGACTGCTCGTTCTGGCCGAAGTTGGTGCCGGCGTAGTCGTCCTGGACACCGTAAGAGAACGAGTACGGCTTGGGCTCCTGGGATGGTTGAGAGAGAGAGAGAGAGAGAGAGATTACAACTTAGCCGAATCACGGAGGAGCTTAAAAACTTTTATTAATCAGGTGTATTCAAAAACTTTTATTAATCAGCCGAATCATGGAAGTGCTTCAAGACTTCAACTAATCAATCTTCACCTTGAAAATACCAATATAATCCAACTAATTACTTTTAATTTTCAAAGTACTTAAATATTTCCGCTAATCTGTCTGATCCTAAAAGCACTTAAGAGTCGTACTAATCTTGCTAATCCTGGAAACTAAAATCGTACCACATATTCACCTAATCCTGAAGGCGTGTGTAATATTTATGTGTGTTTTACTTGTGCTTGTACATATAGGAATAATACTCAGAGAGACAAGCACTCACAAGCCATTACGTTCTGTTAACATGGTCTCCAGCTTCGCGATATCTTATGTAAAATATTCTAGTGGCATTCCGTTACAGTATTATACCAAAAGACAATTTACTGTTATTTGGGGAGTACTTTACTGTAATTCTGAAGGTAATTCATTGTAGTTAGGGTAATACACTAATTCAAGATGTGCTTCTGTATATTTTTTTTTGGGGGGGGGTTAATTCACTGTATTCCATGAAGTAATTCGTGGATTAATTACTGTATTATTCGAGATAATTCACTCATTTCCAGGTTAATTGACTTTAATTCGTGTTGTAATTAACTATTTCTAGGGGTCCTACATGTAATTCAATTAAGTGTAGGTGTGCATTACTTTATTCTTAAATTCACCACACGACAATACAGCTTGTTGAATACTGTGTTATTATCTTGCTGTGAGATTCAACTGTTATTTACTTTACCTACAGTGCTGGCGTATACATGTAATGCCTTGCTTAGATTACACTATTTTTCCGGTAAATTACCCTTGTTATTGTGTTAAATAAAACCACCACCAGCTGCACACACTCTACATGGTCACTAGATATTTGTATATATTAAACCTGTGTATTTTTTGTTTGTATTGTGATTTATTAGAGTATGGAGTGAACTGGGATATTACTCTACAGCAGCTTCGTGTATAGTGTGTGCAGGAAAAGGCTGTGGATTTAAGTACTTTAGATATGAATTATTTTAATGGGATTTATGTTTAACATTAAAATAGACTGGATGTAAATGCTGGGATTGTGAGTGTTTTTATTTTAATTTTTAGTGTAACGTAATGCATTGACTTTAAGAGTATGTGTATTAAAATTCACTGCGACTGTGTTTCCGTGTGAGTATTTCTTGTTCTCCATGAAATACCTCAACTTTAATTGGTTTACAAGAGAGTGTGGTGTTTACCTCCTTGTACGTCTGTGGCTGGTGGTAGGAATTGGAGGGGAGGGCGGCAGCCACGGCCACCACCACGGCCATCACGGACAGCACGAACACCTGCAGGAGAGAGGGGGGGGGGGAAACGGACTTGTTAACACACTTTGCACTCGAATGTTAATCACTGGTACGTGTCGAGCGAACACACGCCAGCACACACGTAGCACGTAGGGTCTCGAATCCACCGTGTACAGTCGTTGTTTAACAGTTCAGGCAGCGAGTCTGTATTCGTAGACACACTGGTACAAAACACGTCTGGCTCACACACACACACACACACACGTACGTTGGTTTTGTTAGTGAATATTTGGTATTGTATGTTGTCTTAATTGTCGTGCGTTACTTTAGTTGTTAGCTATGAAATTTTCTTTGTGAATTTGAATTTTTTTTTTACTCACTATACAGTAGGTATGAGATTACGTTGACTTGGTAGTCTTAGGTTATTGGTTTGGTAAGTGAAATTACAAAATTACGTAACTCTCTTTGTCTTAAGTTTGTTTCGGTAATTAAAGTTAACAGATCACGTGTTCTTGTTGTTTTGCGTTTGTTTAGTTATCAGAGTTATAACGTACGAGTTACACATGCCAATTGCCGGGAATTATGACTTACGAATAGCATATATCTGTATAAACTCTTACTGTACAGGTGAATGAGTTAACAACCCTCTTGCTCAGTTGCTTTGATGTGGAGATAGACTATAGGTTTATATGATCCAAGAAAGGTTTCCAAGTTATTCACCTATCTTAAATTGCGTGCTTAAGGTGCCAAGTTACTCACCCTACTTATGATACTTAAGGTGCCAAGTTACTCACCCTACTTATGATACTTAAGGTGCCAATTTACTCATCCTACTTACAATTATACTTAAGGTGCCAAGTTACTCACCCTACTTACAAGGCATGAAACACCTCAACTGATGAAGTGTTTAGCATGTAATTAATATGTTAACAGTGAGTGCCTGAGGTTCACCTTATACATGATAGTGGAGGAGGAGATGTGGTGGCTGGAGGAGATGTATGGAGCGAGTGGTCATCTCTCCCTTCACTCCCTCAGTATATATAGGTCTATCTTGGCCTTGATGGTGCCTCCCCCCCCCCTCCACCATCAACCCCCCCATCACCCAACCCCCTCCTGCTACCATGATGCAGCCCCACCCCTCCCTTCCCCCACTCCCCATCCCCCTCTAAGGTGCCCAACTTATTTATCCACCTCTTGCCTTTATCCTCCCCCTCTAAGGTGACAGCCCTCCCCTTATCCACTTGCTTCCACCCCTTTCCCACTTCCGCTCACCACCACAAAGATAGCACTCAGCTTCCCACATTATCCTCATCCTCTCCCACACACCCGCCTGCACCCACACACCCGCCCCTCACCCACACACCCGCCCCTCACCCACACATCAAGTTTATAATAAAAAATAACTGAAAATAGAAAATGCGTAGACAAAATACATGGAATTTACAAAGAACAAAAGCATTAAAATACATGAAATAAAGTCATATTTATACTTATACATGAATTATATGTATACTTATGCATGAAATCTGTCGGAAAACCTCTGTATTAACGGACTCTAGGTGAGAGGAAAGTCCATTATACCGAGGGTCCGTTAGATATGATACCTCAATCTAACGAACTATATAGAGCTGATAGTCCATTATATCGAGGGTCCATTAGGTGTGAGACCCAGATTTAACGGATTGTGTAGAGAGAGAAGTCCTTTATATGGAGGTTCACTATATATACTCGCCTATGGAACTGTTGTATTTATTTAAGAATATTTACACACACACACACACACACACACACACAGACACACACACACACACACACACACACACACACAGACACACACAGACAGACATACACACACAAACACACACACACACAGACACACACACACACACACACACACACACACACACACACACACACACACACACACACACACACAGAGGAGATAGTTAACAGCAGTCAACCATTAATTTACCCTTTAACTTCAGAAACAGGTTAATTATATGTAATTAATTGTCTTAATTTGATTAGTGTTTTACATAATTAGACCTGAATGTTTGCTCCTCGGGTTAATTATCCCTTGGTGGATTTATATACCTGTTGAGGGAGAATGTTTAGATGCGTGTTGGGGAAGAATGTCTAAATAAGTGTTGAGTTAGACTGCCTAAATACATGTTGAACTAGAATGTTTCAATACTGGTAGATTTAGAATGTTCAAGTACTTTAAAGTTTAGATACATACCCAGTTAGAATGTGTATTGATGTACTAAATTAAAATGTGGACATATGTATAGAGAAATAATATAAATACATTGAGTTTGAATGTTGGTTTTAGTAATTTAAGATATATTTAAATGCCCATTGGTTCAGTTATATTGAGAAAAAAAAATATTCTGGCGAAGAGGGATTAAACCCGCATCAGAGAATTAGATTTGGGAGGGAAAAATGGAGATTCGGTTCGTCCAGAAGAATATACAGGAGGGGGGGGGGGATTAGCCATTCTTCCATACCCAATCCCTCATGTGTAAGCTTTGTTATGGTTAAAAATTTTCTGTGATTGGTAGCTAGCTCTCTCTCTCTCTCTCTCTCTCTCTCTCTCTCTCTCTCTCTCTCTCTCTCTCTCTCTCTCTCTCTCTCTCTCTCTCTCTCTCTCTCTCTCTCTCTCTCTCTCTCAACGATTATCCCAAGTGTTACCCATTCTCACGATCCAAAACAAAATAAACAAAGCTATTTTTCGTTTTGTTTAAGTCTCCAGTTTGTGTTTTGTTTGTAAATAAAATACAATGTGATTTTGTTGCCTCTTCCCAGGGAATCTTCATCCTGGCGCTGAGATCACAAAGTCCAGATATAAACACTGACACTCACTCAAACACACCACGTGAGGGTTACCGGTTCGAGGTTGTGGTGTGGGTCAGCTGAGTGGGGTTGTTTTTAAGATGAATGACTACCCAGGTGTGGGTTCGAATCTCATCAGGTCACGAAAGTCACCTGTCTAGAGCTTATGATATGGCTGTGGTTGTTCTGGAGGTTTGCATTTGTGTGGGTTCGAATCCATTTCTACTCTGATATTGATTCGTTTTTAGGTCCTGGTAATTCAAATACTCAATGACTATAGAGTAAGGGTTGTTTTAATTACCAAGACGTTTAGGTCATTTGGCCGAGACTACCTAATAGAGGTGTGGTTCTGGTGGTTGTATCATCGCTTCGGTACGTGAGCTGGACCCCGAAACCGGCCAGCACGCGCTGATTAACATACGTGTGGCTATTAATAGTATCAGTAAGAGGTGTTTCTCGTTAGGTACCGAGTGCCGTTTTCCTATACCTGACTCGGTACGTTAGATATCATAAAACACGGGTTCTCTGCCCTTAGATTAAAAGAGTGCCGCTCCCACGCGCAAAAGTTAATTTAATTAGGTTTAACAGAGGAAAGTTCAATGAAAGAACTTTTTTATTCTCCTTTTTAATCTTAATTATACCTGGAACGCGTTATTCAAAAGAAAAAATATGAGAATGGGGGAAATGATATCTCTTGTAGAAGATAAGAATCACCCGTGTACGGTGAAGGACCATTGTTAACACAGAGATGAAATTAGATTTTTTTTTTTTTTTTGTATATTACGGCCGTGATAGTCAGAAGTTGTCTTTGCTCATTTTTATTTTTTCAGAGAAGCTGTTCCTTTTATCTCCACATTTTGGTTATTAGAATTAAAATTATTATGCTAATTAAGAAGGCATAGTCTTTGTTCTATAAGGAAAATAGATTTTCCTTGATGAAGTTAGTGGAGAAAGATAATAATCACAATATAATAATAATATAATAATAATAGTAATAACCAACAAAATAATCAAAACAATAACAACAAATTCCACAAATTAAAATATTCATCACAATTCTGTTGCCACTTTTAGTATTTTATTTCGTTAACTCCAGACGATTTTTATTCAACTCAGAGGAGAAGGGAGACGTACACAAGGGGTTAGTAAACTATCTCCACTGAACAACATTACCTAAATATTGATAATAATCTTGAAAACATTTAGAGAAATTCTGAAAGTAGTGGAATAGTTTTTCTTCAATCTCCCTGGCTGTGTTGTGGGTGAATGGGTGTATTGTAAGGTGAAGTGTGTCTGTTCCATCCCAATTGTGTGTTGAATGATCTGTGATGGATGAATGGATGTGTAGTGGAATTGATGGCAAGATTGAAGTGTGATGTGGTGTGTGGGTAGATGAATAAATGTGTAATGGGATAGATAGATAAATAGAAAGTTTGGTTGGTTTCTTGGTTTAGATAGATAGATAGATAGATAGATAGATAGATAGATAAAGTGCAGTGGAAATACTAAATATATAGTTTGATGGAAGTGCAGTGGAATTGATAGATAGACTGAAGTATAATATAATTGATAGATATATAGATGGAAGTGTAATTGATTGAGACATTAGTAATTAAGGTTGATGGCTGATAGAAGTGTAATAGAATTGAGTGACCCAAAACCGTGATGGAAATAATAGACAGGTATAAAAATGTAATAAGAAATAAGATTGACGAATAGAATAAATGGGAGGAGGAGGAGGAGGGACTAAAGTAACCTAAACCCCCTCTTCTCTTCTCTTTTCTCTTCTCTTCTCTTCTCTTCTCTTCTCTCCTCTCCTCTCCCTGTACATGTATACTGTTGAGTCTGGTGGGGGTGTTGCTTGTAGTTTTGTTTACTTATCTGCTTTCTCTTTTTTTTCCCTCTTTACGTCTCCTCACTTCTTTACTTTCTTCCACCTTCTGTTTCCTTCTGTTTCCTGTTTTTCCTCCTAGTCTCTTATTTCTCTTTCTTCTCATCTTTCTCCGTCATCTCTTCCTTCTCCTTTTCCTACCACTCTTCCTCCCCCTTCCTACCACGCTTACTCCCCCTTCCTACCACGCTTCCTCCCTTCTACTACCACTCTTCCTCCCCTTCCTACCACTTTCCTCCTTCCTACCCTCTTCCTCCCCCTCTCCCTCCCCCTATCTCTTCCCTTCCTACCCTCTTCCTCCCCCCTTCCTACTACTCTTGCTCCCTTTCCTCCCTCATCTCTTCCCTTCCTACCACTCTTCCTCCCTTCCTACTACTCTTGCTCCCCTTCCTCCCCATCTCTTTCCCCTTCCTACCCTTCCTACCACTCCTCCCCTTCCCCCCTCCCCTACCTTCCTCCCCCATCTCCTCTCCTTCCTACAACTTCTGCCTCACCTCCTCCCTTCCTAACCACTGCTTCCCTCTTCTCCCTCATCCTCCCCTCTTTTACCTCTCCTCCTCCGTCTTCTCTTCCTCCTCCCTATCCTCCTCCTGCACCATCTGCTCTAGTGACGGTGGCGGGTATGTGACCAGGGAAAGTCATACGCGCTGTGTTAATTTGCCAAGATGTGTGAAATTATTTTTATTTTGTTCATATTACGATTGTTTCAGTGTCTTGGAGAGTCGGTGATATTGTGTGACTGTTGGGAGACCGGTGTGTGTGTGTGTGTGTGTGTGTGTGTGTGTGTGTGTGTGTGTGTGTGTGTGTGTGTGTGTGTGTGTGTGTGTGTGTGTGTGTGTGTGTGTGTGTGTGTGTGTGTGTGTGTGTGTGTGTGTGTGTGTGTGTGTGTGTGTGTGTGTGTGTGTGTGTGTGTGTGTGTGTGTGTGTGTGTGTGTGTGTGTGTGTGTGTGTGTGTGTGTGTGTGTGTGTGTGTGTGTGTGTGTGTGTGTGTGTGTGTGTGTGTGTGTGTGTGTGTGTGTGTGTGTGTGTGTGTGTGTGTGTGTGTGTGTGTGTGTGTGTGTGTGTGTGTGTGTGTGTGTGTGTGTGTGTGTGTGTGTGTGTGTGTGTGTGTGTGTGTGTGTGTGTGTGTGTGTGTGTGTGTGTGTGTGTGTGTGTGTGTGTGTGTGTGTGTGTGTGTGTGTGTGTGTGTGTGTGTGTGTGTGTGTGTGTGTGTGTGTGTGTGTGTGTGTGTGTGTGTGTGTGTGTGTGTGTGTGTGTGTGTGTGTGATAATAATAATAATAATAATTAACGGTTGCTGCCCGAAGGCTGAA